CAGGCACCTGCCACCATGCCTGGCTAATTTTTGTATTTTTAGTAGAGACGGGGTTTCACCATGTTGGCCAGGCTGGTCTTGAACTCCTGACCTCAAGCGATCCACCCGCCTCGGCCTTTCAAAGTGCTAGATTACAGGCGTGAGCCACCACGCCCAGCCGCATTATCATTTCTTAAGGTATCAGTTGTGCTTTAGTTCATGTAGATTTTGAATATCACTCAGTATGTCAAACATAATATCTAACACTTCCATAGAGATAACCTTGTTTTCAGTTTTTTATTTGTATACTTATTGCCCATAAAACTGAGAAATGGACACTAATATAGAGGATATCACAACCTCTTAGGTAAAAGAATAATCAAATAGAATTAGGGAGACATAACTTGCTCAAAAGTCATTAATGTGTAGGGAAATATGGGAAAAACAGACTCAGTTTCGCCTACTTTGCTTCCATAATATGAATACTTCTGTGATCTTGGAGGTATTGGGTTTTCCTCTACACATCAAATAAACAGTTCTGCAACAGACCCCACATGGGTGTTCTCATATTCGATTCTGACACTGTCTATCTGGATATAGGGTCAGCTCCCATAGGCTGAGGGTTCAGTCCCACAACAGCACACACACTTTCATGCCAGTCGCAAACACAGGTTGTGGCCTGTGCTTCTCAATGACCAACTGTGAATTGTGAATTCCGGTGGCCCCCTCCTTGGAATTGATTAGTTTGCTTGAGTGGCTCACAGAACACAGGGACACACTTTACTTATATTTACCCATTACAAAGCACACAGATGAACATCTAGATGGAAGTGATCTATTAGCTGAGGTCTGGGAGAGGAGTGAGGAGCTGGGACGTATTCTGTCTTTTGAGTTTTCATGGAGGCCCCATTATGGAGGCATTGCTCCCATCATTAGCATTGGTGATCAACTGAACCTTCATTCCCTCTGCCCCCCCGAGAGGACAGAGGCTTAGTCTAACCGAGCCTCAGTCTTTCCAGTGACCACCCTCCGAGCCTTAGCTCCAGCGACCGCTCTCCATCCTGAAGCTACCTACGTGCTCCAGCCACCAATTATCCCATTAATGTACAAAAAGACACTTACCACTCCACAGACTTTAAGAGACCTCTTATGTCAGGAGAGGGGGATGAAGACCAAATCTGTATGTCACATTGTCACAATCTGGATCTGTCAGCTCACCCACTTCAATTTAACCTATTCTCACAGTTTTCTCCTCTTCTCCTTTTATGTGAAGTTTTGAACTCTCCCCTTAGCCACTTGGTGAAATGTGTTTTTCATTTTAGGTACGGTTGACATTCAGGGATGTGGCCATAGAATTCTCTCAGGAGGAGTGGAAATGCCTGGACCCTGCTCAGAGGACTCTATACAGGGACGTGATGTTGGAGAACTACTGGAACCTGGTTTCTCTGGGTGAGGATGACTTTCTTCCAGAAGTCAAGATCTGTTCTTGTCTATTGCTGCATTTTCCCTTACGAGTCCCTGGAGACCCCCTGCATTGCTTGACTGAGATTGAAGTCCTGTTGACTCTGAAATGGAAAGCTTCATCATGGGAAACCTGGACTTTAATCTTCCCCTTTTTCAGATGTTCTGCCTCCTTTGTGCTTCATCATTTGAGGTTTCCGAGCTTCTGTATGCATGATACATTGTGTTAGACGTTTGAAACGTCAGATTTGCTGTTTTCTACCTCTCTGCTTTGGATTAAGTCGTTAGTGGAATAGAGTCTTCTATCTGCATGTTACC